GAACCTCCTGACCTCGGAAAAATCAAGGAAGTTTCTCTTACTCTGAACTGAACCGAGGAGAAAACGTCACTGTGCTGTAAGTTATAAGATGTACGTTTAACTCCTACAATAAATAGTTAGCAAGGACTTAAAGAGAAAGGAAATGGTCTAACTGTAAAATCATATTTAAAACTGATATATTAAGTCGCAATTTCATTTTATCTTAAAACAAGCCACACAAAACCTATTCGCTTTTCTTGGTCTGGCTGACGTTTTACAGTCTTTTTTTCAGAATCAATAAAATGATGACATATCTTGGTACTATTAAGTTCTTTGCCCAGTTTCCAAAACAAACCTTATAATTGAATCTACTGTTCTCTTTTTATCTTATTTGGTTATTAAAAAGAATCCTAAACTAATTGCAAAGATTCCCCATGCAATTCTATAACTAGATATCTGGTTGATATAACACTTTGTACAGATTATAAAAACAACCACGATAACCTCACAAGACACAATGATCATCTTTGACATATCCATCCTCTTCACTAACATACCAACCCGTTGAAACTACAGATACTCCACAAACAGCTTGAAAATAATATAACCCTCGAGGAAACATAACAACTGAATCTACACAATAACAGATCTTAAAACATTATGTTTCAACATACCTACTTCCAATCTGAAGATTAATACCACCAACAACAAGGTCTAGCTATGGGTTTAGCCCTATCACCAGTACTCATTAAATGTTACATGGAACATGAAGAAGAGTTGGGTCAGATATGTTAATGATGCATCTGTAACATGGTCACACAATACAGACAAGAATCAAGAATTAATGAAAAACCTGAACATGACACAATTTGGAATGGAAATATAAGACAAGGAACTCTCATTCATTGACCCGATAATGACCAAGACACATAACTTATATACTATAGGAGTTTACAGAAAACCAATAGATATGAGTAAATACCTCGAGTATAAATCAAGCTACTCCACCAGGATAATGACCAAGATTTGTAATACAAAAGAAGTTAATCGGATGGAATGAAACCACATCACTAGAACCTTCCTTAATAATGGAACCTCCGTGATAAGGAAGATAAACATGAAGAAAATTACAGCCACTTTCACCTACGTCTGAAAGCATACAGAGAACATATATAAACAAAATATAATCAGAACAGTATAATTGAGAAGCCACAACATAAAACGATCCCAATCAGTACATATAAAACAACCCAAAGACCCAATTGAGAGGAGAAAAAACATTTACAGCATCCTTCGTGAATGTTGATTCCGATACATTGGAGAAACAAAGATTAGAATTCAGGAGTATAACAGACTTACACTAGAAAGGACACTAGAATAAACTGGAATAATACGGAAGTAATAGGATATGGATCATACACGAGAAAAAGAGAGATTAAAGCCTACGCCCATGTAACGAACTGATAACATGCTGTCAACCTAGTATAGAAGCCAGCTAAACCTGAATACCCCCCTTGGAAACATTCAGAGCGTTAGTTAGTTTGATGCAATGATGCATCGGTAGCTTTCATTCAATTAGTTTGATTTGTACTAAATGTAGGTGTTCAGGACTTATACATTCTTTTAACCAGACTGTTTGAATATAAAGTGAAAAAAGAAAAAGTTTTGATGTAAACGATTTTTAAGTCAGCTCTTCAGTTTTAGTAATATAAAAAACTACAACTTGTACAGTATATATTTAAGTCTTGGCATGCATGGTGGATAGAGCGTTCGACTCGCAATCTGAGGGTCGAGGACTCAATTCCATATCACCGAACATGCTCGCCCTTTCAGTGTGGGGGCGTTATAACGTGACAGTCAATTCCACTATTCGTTGGTAAAAGAGAAACTCAAGAGTTGGCGGTAGTGGTGTTGACTAGCTGCCTTTCATTTAGTCTATGAACCCTAAATTAAGCACGGCTAAAGCAGATAGCCCTCGTGTAGCATTGCGCGAAATTCCAAACAATCCGATACAGCGTATATTTATCTAACATTTACAGGTAAAATACCATTATGTAATGCACTCTTTGGATATTTTATTCTATTTGTATTTTAATTAGTATATTCTTTACCAGTATTGTAAATATATGGGAAAATTTTGTTTGTAATTAAGCACAAAGCTACACAATGGGCTATCTGTGCTCTGCCCACCACGGGTATCGAAACCCGGATTCTAGCGTTGTAAGTCCGCAGACATACTGCTGTACCACTGGGGGCTTATGGGAAAAGTGTAAATAAGGTGTCGAGATTTGAGACAAGATCCCCTGCATACATGTAATATATGACTTTCTATAAAAATTGAACATAGATACATAAAAAAATGATAATATGGTAGTATTTTGGTCTACAAGTTTTTTAATATACATAATCTTTGTTACTTGGTTTCCTATCAATGTGGCCCGGCCCGGCCATGTGGTTAGGGCGCTCGAGTCACAATTTGAGGGTCGCGGGGTCGAATCCCCGTCGCACCAAACATGCTTGCCCTTTCAGCCGTGGGGGCATTATAATGTGACGGTCAATCCCACTATTCGTTGGAGGGTAGCCTTTTGTAAATTTATCTTTATTGGAGTAAACGTTTTAAAACTTATATGCAACTAAACATTGACATTGTTCTTTAGAAAGTTTTTCTTTACTCTTCAGACTGTGATATTTTCAGTCTGTAAGACCCAAAGATATTAACTGTTCTTCAGATGTTTGCAAATTATGTTCGAATATATTTTGTCACGGTAATCAAAAAATAAATCATTGTAAAGTTTGTTTGTTTTGAATTTCGCGCGAAGCTACTCGAGGGCTATTTGTGCTAGCCGTCACTAATTTAACAGTGAAAGACTAGAGGGAAGGCTTCTAGTCATCACCACCCACCGCCAATTCTTGGGCTACTCTTTTACCAACAAACGGTTGAAAGGGCGAGCATATTTGGTATGACGGGGATTCGAACCCCCCGACCCCCATATTGCGAGTCAAGCGCCCTAACCACCTGGCACACCATATTCAGAAATTTTAAATCACTTAGCTGATAAAAGTTTGCTTTTTTTTTTCTGTTCAGTCCAGTTCTCTGCACTTCAATGATTGTCCAGTAAGATCATCACTAAATAAAAAATGTTTTCACACTGTAGTTGTACTTAGTTCGCACGCAGAAGAACATATGATTTAGATACAAAGAGCTTTAGGTTTTTCACGGTTAACTGTTTGGATGTAGTAATACAAAAATATATACACAAATGTTTATCTCCGGATTCTCAAATACAATCGTATTCAAATAATGAGTGCAAAACCTAAATGCATAGCAAGCCATAATTTAATTTTTGTTTTCCTATTGTTACTAAATATTTCAGAAAATCACAGCTTAAGAAAAGGAATGGCAGTTTTATTTGCACAATGTTTCAATCACTGATACGATTATAATTAACGACATAATGATGACATTTGTTATTTATCAGATTTTGTGTGATAGGTTAAAAACTTTATGTATTCATAATTATCGATATAAATTAATGCACGTTCTCCTTTCGGCATCGGGCTTTGTAGACCTGGAAGGGTGTTACTGTACTCTCTGTACATTTAAAATACCACTCTCACATCACACGCACACACACACACACATATATATATATTTTTCTTCTTCTTCTTGACTTCTACTTAATGATGATTTTCATTATCTCTCATAACTTTCAACATTTTATCAGTTCAAAATATATTTAGTATTGCAAAATTCATTAAAGTTTCGACTATATTTTCCACAAAGGGTTTGTTTGTCAGTAAGCACAAAGCTACACAATAGGCTATCTGCGCTGTGGCCACCACTAGTATCGAAACCTGGTTTCTAACAGTGTGAGCCCTTAGACTTACTGCTGAGCCACTGGGGGGATTCTGGAAAGGGGGAGCCGGCGCTGTGTTATTCCGTCTGTATGCCTTTCTCCAGTGAAAGAATCTGCCTCCTCTCCTCCTTGCTTTCACGTCCCCCCCCCCACAATACTCTGCTATGAAACGTACTGTACGTAGGATAAAAACAAGAGGGAATCGTTAATAGCTGCGGCACTTAAAATTCTTTTAGGCAGGATTAGAATAAATTAATCTACGAGACCTTTTTTCCTTTTTACTATCTATATTTTTGTGCACCAGCAATACCAAGCATGACGCGCGCGTATACCAATTCGATTTTATTACTCACCAGGATCTTTACCAGCTTACCCTCAAATTTAAATTATTTTAGGCAGGGTTGGATTAAATTAGCCTATGATACCTTGGGCGTGGTCAATATATCAATAGAAAGGGTTTGACCTCCTGATTTCAAAAATGTAATTAGATCTCAAATTGGCCAAGAGATGACGAAGCTATGAGCTAGAAGTTTGTACTTGAAAAACTCGGAGACATTCCATGAACCGCTATGTCGCAACTAAAAATCTGCTGCTTCCCCCCCTCTTTTCTCTACATTTTATATAGTTTGATCTTTTATCTTCTAAGTATCTTCTATTCCTTTTGTCAAAGTGCACTCAGGTTGATTCAATTACTTTTGAACCATGCTTTGGCGTAATAAACTATTTTTCTTATCTTCTTTTCTACTGTTAGTCTTACTCTAACATATTAAACGTTATGCCTATCACTTCTACGAGAGTTAACTTGACGCCAAACTTTTTCTTACCCGTAACTTTATTCTCTTCTACTATTGTTTGTCTGCTGTTTCCGCTCGTCTCACCAGTTACATCTTTATTACTTAATCGCTTGGTCTTCTAGAAATCTATATATTCTCGATGTCAATGTATTGCACGTGACATTCGACAGTCTCGTTATCAATGAATTATAAACATAACTTCCTACATTCGTATGCTTTTAACTCTTATTATAACCAAAACTAAACAATAATAAAATATTCACTCACAAAATATATTAATTAATAATATCTAAACTAAACAGTTTTTATATCATGACAAATCTACTCCACCACTGTCTTATATTTCAATGCACTACTGGCACACTGCTACCCTCTACATTCAGAGATCATTAATAGAGTCCAGAACACCATTTTAATTATATATGCTGTATAGCATAGGAAGTAAGTAGTTCATTGTGTTTGATTTAGTGCACATGGTTAAAATTAAGTCTAAAAATAACAGTGTGAAATACGTGTATTTAGTACTAAGGTGTACTGAGAATCTAACCCATTATCCAAAAGGTCACAAGGAAAAAAAGTACTTTCATCATTAAATTGTTACCTCGTTTTATTGTTGAAATTTTTAAGTTGAGAATGTTATGAATAAAATTGTAAAATAACAATTGTTTTGGATAGAAAATATTTGCTGTTAGTATTAGTAATACGCGAAAGTTTACCTGGAATTGGAAAGCAACATAGAAGTGTTAAGAAGTATATTGTATATTAGGTATACAAAGGAAGAAATCTATTGAACTTGTGTGTCAAAAGAGTGTAAAACTAGCCAATCAAACTATGAAAGCCATATTTTTGTGAGTTTTAAAAAAACCTTGAAAATATTAAGCCACAGAAAGATATTTTTTGTTTCCTACAGATCAGGTTTTAGGACTATGAATGTAGTACCTGGCCATTTGAAAACCCAGTTGAATGCTCGTGATAAAGAAGTTTAGGTCTTGGTATTTAGCAGCAGTAATGGTGAATGAGACTTGTTTACCAGTATGTGTAAAAATCAGTATTTTATCTGTCCTAGCTTCAGTTAAAGTTTTATACAAGTCATGCAGTTTCTCTCTCATTGTGTATATACAGTATATATATATATATATCTCCTGCCTCTCTTGCTATTCTTCTGGTTATTTTTAACCGGATCTGGCAGGAACATATATATATATATATGTGTGTGTGTATGTATGTGTGTGAGGGTTGTTCAAGTAAAAAGCATGAATAATTATAGCTATAAAACTGATAGCTTATAATACACACATACAACAGAGACTTTAAGTTTTGAAACTTAATTTGACAAATGGTAAAAATAAAAGCTGTATAAGTTGGACTGTACAATGTGTGTGTGGGTATATCATTGTTTTATATCAATATTTGTAATTATTATTTTTCTTACACAAGGAAGATCACAAGAAAATGAATATCATAGAATTGACTAAAACTTGGAAACTATTGCCCCATTTGCATCAGAAAACAAATTTTCAATATACTTTCTTATATGGTGTTTAATCTTTGTTAAAGTTCATAATGGTGGAACTTCACTTGACTTTTTTTTGGTCTTTTAACAACATTATTACACAAACACCAGCATTATAAGAGTATTATATTTAAAACACCTCAGTTGTGAATTGGGCAGCTGAGTTATTTGGAGACACTGATCAGATGTGGAAAATTTTTAAAGATAAAATTTTAAATATTCAAAGTAAACACATTCCTTATAGAAAGAAAAGGTTAGCTGCATATGAAAAACCAGATTGGCTCACAAAGAGTATAAGAGATAAAATTAAAAAAACATCACAAATTTAAGAAATTTAAATTGACTGGGTGTTGGGAGATTTAGAAGATTATATAAGATCAAGAAAGTTGGTGAAACAGGAAATTAGGATATCAAAAAGGATGTATGAGAAAAGGTTGGCTGAAAATGTAAAAATTAGCAGTAGGGATTTCATTAGATACATTAAGGGTACACAAAATGTTAGAATGGGGGTGGGATCCTTGAGGGATGATAAAGGAAGGGTTGTATCTGATGATTATGAGATGGCTAGGTAATCAAAGTTTATTTTTTCTTCAGGTTTTACTAACAAAGATTTAAGTTGATAGACGCAAACAAGATCGAACAAGATCTGAGCTTGTTAAGAAAAAATTTGGGAGTTTAAAAGACGATATGGTTCCTGGGCCAGATAATGTTTCCCCAAGGGTTTTGAAGGAGGTTAAAGATTGGATATGTGAGCCGCTTACTACTATTTTTTTTCAGTCCTTGAATAGTGGGCAGGTACCAGAGGATTGGAAGTTAGCTAATGTCACTCCTCTTTTCAAGAGAGGTGATAAAAATTGTCCCAGTAATTATAGACCCATTAGCCTTACATCAGTTGTGGAAAAAGTTATGTAAAGTTTGATAAAAGATGTTTCGCAAAGTAATTTAACCAAGTTTAGAATTTTATTGAATAGTTCACCATGGTTTCACTAAGGGAAAATCTTGCCTTACAAATCTTTTGACATTCTTTGAAAAGTTTACTGCTTATGTAGATTAGGGTAAGGGTGTAGATTTAGTGTATCTGGATTCTAAGAAAGCATTTGACAAGGTACCACATAAAAGGCTTATAAAAAAATGATCTCTATAGGTGTGGGGGATAACTTAGCTAATTGGATAGAAGAGTGGCTGGATGGAAGAAAGCAGAGGGTTGTTACAAATGGAGTTCAGTTGAAATGAATTAATGTTACAAGTGGGGTACTCAGGGCTCAGTTTAGGACCTTTGATCTTTTTGATTTACATCAATGACATAGATGAAGGAATGGTCAATAAATTAATTAAATTAGCCGATTATATTAAAGTTTTGGGTGTTTTTAGTTGTGAAGAGGATGCTGCTGAT